TGCTACCAGTGCCATTGCGATATGCAACTTTGTCGGTCGCCCTGGCCAATTGTCTACTAGTTGTTATGCAACTTCTTGTGCTTTCTCAGCCGACTACCTATCAATCGATGTGCAACTTTGTCAGCTCCTCTGACCAACTTCTTAGCAGGTAATGTGCAACTTCCCCCTACCCTATGGATGTGCAGTTTCCACCATCCCTAACTACCCTTTCCTGCATGAGATATGCAACTTTGTCTACGGACATGGCCAGCTGTCTAGCAGTCAATGTGCGTCTTTCTCCCCTACATGTGGACACCCTGTCCCAATTACCCCTACCAATAGGATCTGCAACTTTGGAAGCTGCCTCGGCCAACTGCCTGGTAGTTGATGTGCAACTCTGAAAGTATCATATCCAACTAAGAACTACTATGTCTGCAACTACAAGTACTGCAAATGCCAACAAAAAAGGCGAATAGAAAAAATTAATTAACTTAAGAAAAAAAACATCATCTAGCAAACTTAGTATCGTCGTGTTGTGCAACTTTCCAATGATCATATCCAACTAAGAACTACTATGTGTGCAACTACAACTACAGTTGCCAACAAAAAAAGTGACTAAAAAGATTAACTTAAAAAAAGCATCATCTAGCAAACTTGGCATCACTGTGTTATGATCATATCCAATTGAGAACTACTATCTGTGCAACTACAACTACTGCGAACGTCAGCAAAAAAATGACTCGAAAAAATTGATTAACTTAAAAAAATCATCTAGCATACTTAGTATCGCCGTGTTGTGCAACTTTTCAGTGGTTAAATCCAACTTAAACTACTACCATAGCCAACTGTGTTCTAACCAAAGTAAAAGATCCCTTTCTTCTATTCGGCATACGATCTGATGAATTTCCCTTGATGTTTTCTAGCGAACTTATGAATGGGCTTAAGCTGCAGGTTTGTGAAGGTTGCTTCTCCCAGATCAGGTTTACCAAAGAAGCTCCTAGTTGCTTTGGTTAGGGACACCATCCCTTCATGCATGTCTTTTGACTCGATTGGGTGTCGGTGTGGAACAGATAGGAAATCCTTGACGTCCATTTTGAGTTCAGGCAGCAACCAAGGCAGCTTTGTCCAGCGTGTAGAGAGCACGCTTGTCCTTACAGCTGTAATTAGGTCAGATTTCATCAAGATGGGCAGCAAAATGTCATCAGTCAGCGCGCTGACTCTGTCTTCCTGTGATTGTTGCATAAAAAATGAAGTTTTTTTTTACTTAGTATTGAATAAATAAATTCAGAAGTTCCAAACAGGAGTTACACCATGAATGAAGAAAGGAAATCATTATTCTTACTTGGCCGGGCGAATCATTATTCTCCATGAATGAAGAATCTAATGGCGTCTACGCCTTCAAATCTTATCCGATACATAGGCCTCTGTATCAGGGATTCAGGGGATTCCAGAATCTAACATGGCTTTCGCAGACCACATTCCTCACTGCCATTTCTTCAAACAACATGCATGCAGGACCACCAACACAGCAGTTCAGGTACATGACGACTCGTCATTGACGAGCAGCTTGACTGCTCGCTCAGCTCAGCACGGCAGGGCAGCTTGAGTCCGAAGGCACGGTACGTCTGCACGGGCAGCGGCCAGAATGTCGTCCCCAACGAGCATGTGGAGGAAGAAAGGCGCGGGCCAAAGGGTCGACGGCGTCGGTGTCTTCTTCCCTGGCCGTGCGCTGGAGATTGTTACTTAGAGCATTTCCAGCCGCGCCCTCGGGGAGGCCTCTTCAGACAATTTTTTCGCGCTGGCGTCGAAAGAACGGTCCAGTCGCGTTTTTAGGAGCCCGATTTTCGTCGGCCTGGGTCAAAATCAGCATCGGGGGATCCAAGCCGAACCCGGCACGCTGGGGGGCGCCGGGGCGAACAGTTTTCGCACGAAAAAGCCGCGGGCCAGCCGCGTCAGCGACACCGCGCCTCGTCCTCCCCCAACGTCTCGGTTTCCCGCGCGAGGAATCAATGGCAAGGCTGCCACCGGTCAGCTTTGCCATTGATTCCTCACGGGCGGCGCGTCACGGGACGGCGCACCGACGCCTCCCCTCCCTCGCACGCGTACACACGGGCGCGGCGCGGCTATATAAGCCGGTGGCCTCGCTCGCCTGTGACCACACTAGCCCCGCCCTCGCCGCTGAGCTTTACCTCTCCCGAGCGCCGCCGCCGAGCCCTCCCTCTCCCTTCCCCTCTCCCGATAGTCGAGCGTTTCCCCGGAGACGAGGCGGCGGCAACGACTTCGGCCACCGCACTCTCCGCGAACAGGAGTCGTGGCTCCTGTTCCAGGTGAACATCACGGCGCCGCCAGACATGCGCCCTGGGCCGACGGGCTGGAAGCTCAGCTACGGGGGAGTGCCCATTCCCCCGTTGCCCGACGCCGTGGCTAAACCCTCCTACTTCACCGACGAGGTCGAGGTCGTGCGTGCCTCCCTCACCGACGCCCAGCTCTCCCTCCTCCAGTACGCCGCCGACAACCACGCGGCTTGGGTGGCGTACTACCAACACCGTCAGTAGCAGCGGTCCACCAATGGCGTGGCGGTGGTCTGCGGCCTGAAGAACAACGAGGGGCGCCACCTGTGGTGGGGCGTCCCCGGCCGCACACTCGAGGGCGTGCTGACGCACCTCGAGGGCGGCAACAACCCGCCGTTGGCGTACCCCCGGCGAGGGCGGCCGCCGCGGCGCACCGCCGACGCGACGGGCCATGGGCGCCAAGGAGGTTCGGCTCCTCCTCCTCTTCCTCCTCGCGATCTTCCTCGCACTCCTCCGGCACTCCGGCGCTGCTCAGCGTCAAGGCCGAGCCCGCGGCGGAGACGCCGCTCGGCCGGCGCACTCGCAGCACCGACATCGTCATCAATGAGGGCGGTCGGCGCGCCTCCTCGTCGGCTCCTCCTCCGCGCTTCGTCAAGCCAAAGACGGTGACGGGGCTCGCGCCGGTGAAGGCGGAGCCGGGTCTCCCCGCCATGAAGACGGAGCACGGCAAGGTCGAGCTCGACGACGACGCGGTCCTTGAATGGGCACCCCAGGACTCCCTGAAGATGGCGAGGGAGCGCCAGTGCGCCGCCCTGCGGCGCTTCGCGGAGCGCCGCCGGGGCCGCGACGAAGGAGTCGTCGTCGTCATCGGCGACAGCGACGACGATGACGCGCGCCGCCGCCACCAGTCCGCCATGGCGACGCCGGGTCCAGCAGGGGCGCCCGCGTCAAGGAGGAGAAGGCCGACGATGACGATGGCGGTGACGATGGCGGCGACGACGGCGACTACTCGGCGTTCAACCAGTTTCTTTTTTAAATTAGTTTATATATTTGCTATGTAATGAAAATCCGCAAACTTTGTTGAAATATATGTTCAAGTTGGATGAAATTTGTCGTGTTTAACCGAACTTCGTCGAACTTTGCCGAAATTTGCTATATACTTTCATTTTTTGAACGCGACTGGGGCGGCCCTGGGGCCGGCGGCTGAGGACCAACTCGCCTCCAGGCCGATTTTTTACGCCGGCTCAGTCCCAGACGACGATTTTAGGCGCCCTCTGAGGGGCCAACGGCTGGAGATGCTCTTACATATTGTCCATGCATGCATCTGAACTGAGTGCAAGCCGTTGCGCCGGCGCATGAAGAATAAATTCATGAAAGAAATGGAGGTTGTTACTTGCATGTTTGTGCATGACACTAGTGATGATGAGGTCGCCTTGACAGTGAGCTGGAGCACACATCAACCTACTACCACTCTGGACTGGTCCACTTTTCAATCGGAAAGGTGCCATAGCACCCGGGTGCCCCGACACCCTGTTATCCCGCGTGTCCAGCGACTTGAAGATTCGTGCAGAAGAATAGTCAGCAGCAGGCATGCGCATGCGCATGTTAATTAAGCAGCCATTTTGCAGGGTGTGATCAGGACTGCAGGAGACAGAGTAGGGCCGGTCCTAGGCAACTGTTTTGCAGGCTGAGCCACTGTATACATGCGAAAGCGAAAGAGACCGTCTGTTCCGTCCCATCACTGGAAACCATTGGCTCGCCTGCATGTGAAGCTTTATTCTCGTGAATGAGACCGCTGGAGAGAGAGGGCGCTTTTCTCTTTCTCAGAGAGGTGCTATGAGAGAGAAGTGAAAGAGGCATTGTGTGTAAGAGAAAAAAGAGCAGAGAGAGAGGCGTTGTGTGCAAGAGAGAGAAAGGAAAAAGGAGCAGAATAGTTTAAAGTAGCCTGTAGTCAACAGTGTTGTTGTTTTATATTCTACCAAAAAGAAATAGGAGAGAGATGAGGATGCTGCAGCCACATTTGTCGGGAACAGTAGTGCCACGGACACTGTTTTTACAATTAGAATAGGGGGATTAAGGCCAGGAAAGGCAGGTCTAGACTAGGCCCAGGTTTGTTTGTTTTTTATCCCTGTTCTGCGCTTGATGAGCTGCTAATAGAATCATTTGCTACAGTAAGACACACACATCTCGAAGCATCATATTTTAAATGAATGGTACAGATAAGAGGATGCTTGGACACCCGGGATCTAAAAATCCACTCTCCTTTTCAATGTTCTTCTCCCGACATGACATTTTGTCGGCACACCAACGAGGATCCGCCTAAGTAAACAAAATAAATCTTAGGAAGGAATCTAAGTTGAGGGCTCGTCTGAAAGTGTATCGTCATTTATGAAGTGACTTTGATACTCTCTGGTCTATGAAATTGTGCATACAACTTCCCATGCTATGGACTATATAGACTTGTGATAAAATCATCTGTAAGTATAACATACAATTAGGGTCAATTCAACACAAGTGTTCTACTAACATCGTGTCCTTAAATATTGTCGACATTACCGCTATGTCCATGATAAAAAAATAGAACCATCAATCAACACTTAGCTAGTCCTAGGCTTACAATTATAATTATCGATTATTTAGGAATATAATAATCAGTACAAAATACGAAGCAGCGCATTCTTTTCGGCAAAGAAAATATATTTTCAAACAGATGGTGTATATACTTGCTAATTAAACTGCCGGCCGGTCGGTCGCCGTGTCTCTGCACCAACCATCCATGCGTAAAGGCACGGCCTTCTTCTCCGGCGCGTGCTTGGCCTTGACTCTAACGTACCGGCGCACCAGTCGGACCACCCTCCTGCCCACCACATGTCCAGGCAGCTGTTTCCTTGCACCAGCAACTGGTTCTTCAACTCCATGACCACGGAGAGCGGCCGTGGCGACGCTGATTTCTCCTTGGCTTCCGGTGGCAGTGCCGGGGTCCCTGTCGTCGTCGCCGTTGATCGGCTCATCTATCAGTTCCTGTAGCGAGAAATTACGCGAGTTATCCTGACCTTCCTCCTGCGGCTCCTGGAGGTGACACGCCATCCTTCCATCATCTCCGTCTAGCTCCGGCGATGTCTTGTGCTCAGACGGTGGCTTCAGCTGATGAGCATCTCGGTCGCAACCAGCAGTGGCCAACCTTGCAGCGGCTGGTCTTCTTATTGTCCTCCTTGACATGGTAGCATCGAATCTCCGAGGCCGGTTTTCGTCGTGCGATGCGGTCGCCATTGTTGTCCCAGTGAACTTATTTGGAAGAAGAAGAAGAAGAAGAAGAAGAAGATCACATCCCTGCCTGGTACTTGGACTTGGGAGGAAAAGTTGTTCATATATATAATGCCAGGCCAGGGATATGAGGACCTAGGTGCTTGATGCGTCTACGTGCACGTCTGCAAGGGAGCTATCTGAGCAATGTTAAGTAGGATAGAAGGCAGCTTATGCATGGTACACAAAAAGAGTATTGAACCAAGAATAAGCTTGTGGGTAGATACAGGAATGTACTAGGGATAACTTAGGGATAAAGCCCAAGGAATGCATGGAGGGAACTGATTGATATGCTGTAGACGAACTCTTCTAATCCAATCCAAGAACCAGGACGATGTGACTGAACTCACCTACCGACACAGTCCACACCCACACGGTGTGGCGAGATGAACGAACCTGTTTGGAAGGATATAGCTCCATTTATCGCCGAATTAGACCAGCCTGGTGTTGTTGAAAGCTAGGAGTATGAAACAAGCATGTATTAGCCTTTAGCTTATCCAAGGATCTTGACTATTGCGGAGCCCGGTGAATTTCTGTAAACTTTATGGTTGGTTTCGCTATGTTTGTGCAGGTATCCGAACCTAGAAGACCTGAACCTACTACTCCATCCGTTCTGAATTACTTGTCGCAGGTATGGACGTATCTAGATGTATTTTAGTTCTAGATACATCCATTTCTGCGACGAGTAATTTGGAGAGTATTTAACCAAAAACTATCACATTTGCCGGAAACGTGATGGAAAACTACCACTCTACGTTTTTGTGCGAAAAACTACCAAATTTTTCCTAAACCGTGACAAAAAACTACCAACTCGCGAAAACGCTCGCTTCGCCCGCGCTAACCCCGTTTCTGACCGGTTGGGCCCGCGAACAGTTGCCACGCGGGGTAACGGGCGGCCGGCGCGCGTTGACGGCCGTTTACGGCACTTCCGCTGTCGGAACGGCGGCTGTCGGTCGGCCAATGGGTCAAGATTTGATCCTCTCCCCTCTCGCTGCACTCTCTCCGTCCTCTCCCTCTCTCTGAACTAGGTGGCGGCGGCGGCGACGACGATGGCGGCGGTGGTTCCGGAGGGGGGTGTCGGCGATATGGGTGGTGGCGGCGGCGACGCTGGCGGCGGTGGCACAAGTTTGGACGCTGCGGGCTCAGTCGACAATTGGTTGGGGAGCACCAGCTTCTCGACGCAGGCCGGCTCGCAGCAGCAGGAGGCACAGCTCGCCCAGTCATCGCCAATGGGTTGCAGGTATGGAAATATCATCTGCTAGGTTAGCTGCTTCAATCTGTCAATTTGGTTAGCTGCTCATGAATTGGTTAGCTGCTTCAATCTGGCATATTAGTAAGATGTGTTTGTTAGAGATTGTTGTGTAGTAAACTGTATTGCACTTGTAGCTCTGTCATTTTCAATTCAATTCATGAGCACCTATTTTTGCAGTTTTGCTGACAAGAAGTGGGAGATATGGTTTCATTTAGAAGGAAGAAACCCTGTGAAAAGGGGTATATATGAGTCAGATATATCTTTTGTTACTCTACAATCACTCATTGCTAGTGAAGGGTATGGGCAGAGTGATTACATGTACTATGTGAAGGAGGAGGAAATTGGATCTGAAAGAGTAAAGTATTTAGGTAATGAAGCTAGTGTTCATGAAATGTTGGAGTTTTTTAATCATGTTAATGTTGTGAACATAAAGGTTGTGAGAGATGTTGAACCTGGAATAAGCACACAGGCTATTCAGAATTACATGAACACTCAAGAGAGTTGCTGTGTGCAAAAGATTGTGGAGAATGAGATAGATGATAGAAAGGCTCAGCTTGAGAGGAGCAGGATTCAAAGAGAGGCAGATTTGAACCACTTTGAAGAAGACACTGAAGTGTCTGAATTTTGTTCTGATGATTTAGTTCATTCAGATGGGAGTGCTGAAACTGTTCAACAAATGGAAATAGAGTGTGCCTCTCAAGAGGAAACAACATTGCAAAGTACTTCTATTGTGAAACATGTGAAGAACCCTGGACCAACTAGCACATGTCACAATGAGGTAGAGAAAAAACGTTTTGAAGATTGGTTTCCTGAAGCAGATGAGTTTTGTTTTGCTGGTGATGCAGGCATAAGTGATGAGGAAGAAGAAGATGAAGTTGAACTACCATACATCATGAAGCCAAAGACAAAGAGTAGTAAGAAAAAGATGAAGGAAAGGGTATATTTTGACCCTTCAATTCTCAATTCACATTTACCGTTGTGCAAGAGCTTGTGTTTTGATTAGCATTAAGAGATTTTCATATAAAGACTTTGAGGTCTTTTCACTACCACAGGAACACTCCAACAAGAATTATTGTTTTGTGTTCACAGAGAGAGCATGGATGTGAATTTTACATGTGTGCCTCCAGGATAGCTCATGAAAGAACATTTTGCATTAAGAAGTGTAACATGGAGCACACTTGTCCACCATCAGCACAGAACACAAAGGTTACTACTAAGTGGCTTTCCAAAGCAGTTGAGCCTTCTCTTAGAGCAGATCCTAGCGCACCTGTGGATTCACTAATTAAAAACAGCAAAGTCAAGTTTTTAGTTGATGTATCAAAGAGTGTGGCCTATAGGGCAAGGAGGAAGGCTATTAAGGTTGTACAAGGTGACCAGAAGGAGTAGTACTATAGACTGAGGGACTACCTACAAGCAGTTCTTGACACAAACCCTGGTAGCAGGTGTGTAGTTACAACATTTGAGGACCCAGAAAACCCTGCCCCAACTCCTAGATTTAAGTACATGTTCTACTGCTTGCATGCATCAAAGCAAGGATTTCTTAATGATTGCAGGCCCTTTATAGGTAAATATATAACTGCATTTTGTTCAAAATATCTTGTTGTAATTTTTTGGTAGCTAATTTGGGTATGGATGCAGGGCTTGATGGTTGCTTCATCAAGCTAACCACTAGACAGCAAATTCTTGCAGCCACAGGAAGAGATGGCAACAACAACATCTACCCCATAGCCTTTGGTGTGGTTGATAAGGAAGATTCAGAAAGTTGGACATGGTTCTTAACCCAACTAAGATGTTGCATTGGAAGTGAAAGCAAATTTGGAACCTACAACATTATTTCTGATAGGCAAAAGGTATGCAACCTATCTTAGTCAGTAGTTCAGATAAATATAGTTATTACTGGCTTTATTTGTTTTTGTTCATGACCATGGTTATTAATTTATAATCAGGGTCTTCTTAAGACTATAAATGAGGTGTTCCCTGATTCCCCTCAGAGATACTGCCTCAGGCACATCTATGCAAATTTCCAGTGAATATGATGAGGAGGAGTCATCTGACGAATCTGACGACGAGGTGGATGAGGTCGTCGTCCTCTCCGACGACGAGCCTGAAGTGCAGCTGCTGGCTCCCGTCCTTGACGCCGTGGAGGGGGACAGGAACCTCCCAATCCACGTGGATGCGCTGCCGGAGGTCGATCTCCCAGAAGGCGTCGTGGTGAAGCAAGAACAAGATGGCGGCGAGGAAGATGTGGTGGAGCCGGCGCCGGGCAAGAAGAAGAGGGCGGCCGTGACTACAGTGCGCCGCTCCCAGCGCCTGAAGATGCTGAACAAGGAGGAGTGAAGTGCTGCCTTCAGTTAGTTCAGTGCAAAAAAAATTCAGTTTCGTCAGTCCTGAACTTTCGTAAGTTCAGTAAGTTCCTAGGTTCAGTTTCGTCAGCACTATCTACTTGCTATCTATGTCAGGCACTATCTACTACTAGTTGCTATCTATGTCAGACTATGAATGGTAGTACTATCTATCTATGTCAGATTATCTATATATGTTAGTTGCTACTTCCTACATATGTTAAGTTATTTGTCAGACTATCTAAGCTACTTGCTATATATGTTACTTGCTGCTTTCTACTTCCAACTATGTCACTACTGTCAGTTATCCACACATGATATATGCAGAGTAAAACAGACTCATCATAGATAAAACATTCTTACTTAATTAACTTAGCATGAGTACTCACTTAGCATAGTAGGTCTTAACATAAAAGTCATTACATCATAGATAAAACCAACTAGTTCTTAAACCATAATAGTACCTCCCTCCCTCATACCATTCTGAAAGCACATAAAACTTTCCCAAAATATACACCTAACATGCATGACATTCCAAGGCCAGCTATATATATAGGCCTACTAATTACTTAACCCACACACCAAGCACTTCACTCATTCATAATTGCCTTGATCCTCTTCAGCTTATCTTTGCTGGCATGCCCAGCATTGACCATATCAGCAATCAGATACTCCAGCTTCTTCTTCTCTTTCTTAAGTATGTCCCTGTCCCCTCCACTTCCTTCATGGCCTTCCTCATGTTCTGAATGATATCTGCTTGGCTTTGAAGAATGCACCTTTGCTCCTTGGCAAGCTTCATCTTTTCCATACTTATCTCAATCTTTGCTTGATCCTCAAGTTGTTTCTTCTTTGCATTTAGATCATTGATTGCCTGACTGGTATAGTCCATGTGATGAGACATCTTGCCATCTTGATAGTCAAAAAGCTTGGATACATCTTCAACCAACTGGCTGTAGTTGTTTGACAGGAAATCAATTTCCTTCTGTAGCTTGGCCACCTCTTTCTCATGGGCTTGTTTGTCCTTCACCCTCCCCAAGTTCTGCTCATGGTACATGTCCCAAATCCTTGTTAGGCACCTTTGTAGAATCTCTGGCCAAGGACCGTCCACCCACTCCACAACCCCACAGTTCACACCTACATCCTACAGAAGCAATTATTTATAATTAAGCACAAATCACTTAGTAACAAACTAAGTACAGATAACCAAAGTTCACACCTACATCAATATGCTCTCTGAATTATGCAAACATACTTCTTTCATAGTAAGCACACAACACCTGACTTGGCATCAGAGATAAATTCAGTTAATAGCTATATTAAGCAGTAAATATAAATTCATTTAAATCTGTTTTTTTAGTTAACAGCTATATTCA